ATTCTGTCGCGAGCAGGGCATTCGTCAGTTCTGGACGCTTCCCGAGTCCCCACAGCAGAATGGGGTTGCTGAGCGCCGCATAGGCTTGGACATGGAGATCGCATGCACCTCCATGATTCACACCGGTGCGCCCCATTTTCTGTGGCCCTACGCGGTTCGATACGCCGCTCACCAGCTGAACCTCTGGCCACGTGTCTCCTGGCCAGCGGCTTCACCGACCAGTCTTTGGACCGGGTCCCCTGGTGATGCGTCGCGTTTTCGTGTCTGGGGCTGCTTGGCGCGTAATCGCGACACCTCCGCGGACAAGATCTCGCCTCGCGCCATTCCCTATGTCTTCCTTGGTTTCCCCGAGGACTCCTCTAACTTCACCTTTTACCACCCTCCACTTCACCGGTTCTTTGACTCACGTGACGTCCGTTTTGACGAGTCTGTCCCCTACTACATCCGATACCCTTGTCGCGGTCTCCCGGTTCCTCCTCCCCCCCATTTCCAGGCTCCAACTCCCCCTCAGGCTCCTCAGGTACAGCCTCCCCCCCCTGGTCCAGCCCCGTCAGGTGTGTCACACACTAGCCCCCCCCCCCTCGGTCGCCCCTCCGGTCTCGCCCCCTTCCCGGCAGTCCTCCTCCCAGCCTCCGCAGCAGCCGTCCACACTTCCCCCCCAGACTACTGAGGACTCAGAGGGCACTGGTGTTGGTCGCGCGGACCTTGGCGGTGCTGCCCCTGGGGGTGCTGGAGTTGGTGTTGAGAGTGTGCCTGCCCGGGAGCCTGGTGCTGAGGGTGCTGGAGTTGGAGCTGAGCCCGTGCCTGCAGAGGTTTCTAGTCTTCCGGGAGCTGGTACTGGTGGTGCTAACTCTGGGGGTGGTGCGACTGGTGCTTTGGAGAGCGGTCATGGGGCTACCACCGCCAAGGACACTACTCCTCCCCCCCACCCCTACCCGACCCGCCACCAGGCCCGTGTTCACCGTGCCCGTGAGGAGCAGCTGGAGTTGGAGCGAGAGGAGAGAGAGTTGGAGCAGCAGCAGCTGGAGCTACGGCGGCTGGAGGAGCAGCAGCAGCAGGAGCAGCAGCAGCAGCCGCAGCTGGAGGAGCAGCCGCAGCGGCAGCCACAGTAGCAGGAGCAGCAGGAACAGCCGCAGCTGGAGGAGCAACGGTCATAGCCGCAGTAGGATCAGCAGCAGCTACCACCTCCTCCTCTTGTCTCTGGTCTTCAGACCCTCGGTCTCCCCTCTCCCTCTCCTCCCTCCTCCCCCTCTCCTCCCGTCTCCGGTCCCCCGCTTCCTCCTCCTGACCCCTCCCCAGCTGTTTTCCCTCGTTCTCAGCCTCCGTTGTCCCCTCCTCTTTCTCACACTTGGGCTTCGCGTCGCTCTCCTTGTGCTTGTCCCTCATCCCCTGTTCCCTTCTCTAACCTTCGTACGGCCCTGTTTCATTCTAGTCTGCCTCGTTCGTCTCGATCTGTACTTCCTTCCCCTCCTGAGTCGGCCCTCACTGCTTCCCTCTCCAATCCTGTCACTGACTACTACCGCATGTACCGACCTGTTCTCTCTCGTGTTCTCGCCTCTCTTGTTACGGACCCTCGTGCCTCTCTGTCCTCTGTCTCCGCTATTACTGCCGCAGTCACTCAGTTTGCCTCTACTCGCCACCTTGACTACGCCACCAGTCTTGTGGCTGCTCCTCCTACCAGTCTTCTGGCCGTCGGGGGTGAGTCTGCCCTTGGCTGTGACGCACTAGAGGATAGGCAGTTTGAGCTAGAGTTCCTGGCAGCCGCTTCCCCTCATCTCTGTGCCATGCTGCTCGCTCCTGAGGGAGACCCCTACGCCCTTGACATACCGACTCCTCGCAATTACGCTGAGGCAGGGTCAGGACCTTGGGCCTCTAAGTGGAGAACCGCCATGGACTCAGAGATAGCCTTCTACAGATCCACAGGCACATACGTCGATGAGGTTCCCCCCCCTAGAGCGAACGTAGTCGATGGCATGTGGATCTTCAGGGTGAAGCGGCCACCGGGATCTCCTCCGGTCTTCAAGGTGCGCTATGTGGCTAGAAGTTTCAGTCAGTGTGAAGGAGTTGATTTCTTTCGGACCTTCGCGCCTACCCGAAAGATGACCGCTTTTTGGGTGTTACTGCACGTAGCATCACAGAGAGACTACGAGCTACACTCTCTCGACTTGTTTACTGCCTTCTTTCAGGTATCCTACACGAGGAGGTCTGGTTGTGTCGTCCCTCGGCTTTCACTGGCACTTTCCCTCCAGGGACCCAGTGGAGGCCGAGGCGACCGGTCTACGGCCCCCGCCAGGCTCCTCGTGAGTGGTACGACACCCTTCGTTCTACCCTGTCTGACCTCGGTTTCCAGCCGTAATCTGCTGACCCGTCACTGTTTGTTCGTCGTGGCTCCACACCGTTCTTTGTACTGGTCTACGTCGATGACCTGGTTTTTGCCACAGCTGACAGGGTTGCTTTGGCTGGCGTGTAGCGCGAACTGCAGAAGAGACACACGTGCACTGACCTTGGTGAGCTGCGCCACTACCTTGGCCTGCAGATCACCAGGGACAGAGCCGCTCGCACCATTACACCTTTACTGTCACACATGGTGCAGCAGGTCCTTCAGCGGTTCGAGCTTCAGCACTCCACAGTACAGCGCACACCTCTTGCTGTTGACCACGGACTCACTGGTCCCTTTCCTGATGAGCCGTTTGAGCCTAGTGCCCGCTACGCAGAGCTTGTGTGTTGCCTCATGTACCTGATGACTTGAACTCGCCCGGACCTCGCCTACCCTCTCAGCATCCTCGCTCGCATTGTTGCGCAAGGGAGACACCGTTCTGTTCACTGGACCGATGGTGTGAGGGTGGCGAAGTACCTAGCGACGACATCAGGTATGGGGCTGGTACTTGGAGGGACACTGCCGGTCGTCCTTATTGGTCACTGTGACTCCTCTTTCGCTGACGACGCTGAGACTCACAGGTCTACTCATGGTTACTGTTTCAGCCTGGGCTCTGGAGCTGTTTCGTGGAGGTCCACGCGCTCCTCCTCGGTCTCGACCTCCACCGCTGAGGCTGAGATCTACGCTGGAGCCATGGCTACACATGAGCTGCGTTGGTTGACCTTCTTGCTCACAGACCTTGGTGAGCGGCAGAGCCCTGCACCGACCTTGTTCGCTGACAACAAGGCGGCAATTCTTCTATGTCGGGAGCCTCGACTGGAGAGCAGAGTGAAGCACATCAACGTCATGTACTTTCTTCTGCGAGAGTTGCAGAGGCTTGGACATGCTCGCTTGGACTTTGTGGAGTCTGAGGCCAACACTGCAGACATCTTCACTAAGGCGCTTCCGCCTTGTGACCACCACATGTGTTGTGTGCAGTTGGGGCTCGTTGGCACTGGTTCTCGGCTTGTGTAGACGTTGCCTATTTTTGTTGTACCCGTTGCTTATACACCTGTGAACTCTTGAACAGGCCTTGTGGCCATTCTGCTTGTGCTCGGAACGTGTGGTAACATTGTGATCCACCCTGAGCTTTGTTTCTTTGTGACTGGTCTTGTGACCGTACTCTTTTGGTTCTTGCTTGACACCCGTCACTTAGGCTATGGGGGTGTGTCAAATGTTGCAGCCTGTAGTGAGGCTTGTCTTATGGGGTATATATGTTAGGGTTAGGTGTTACAATCTGAAAGTGGGACTTAGCGAAAGGATCGTTCAGGGTTGATTGCAGGTAGTGTCGCAGCGGAAGTATTGAACTCAGGTCAGAGTGAATGTTAATGACTGAGATTGGTAATAGCATGCATACATAGGGTTTATATAGAAATACAAAGGAATGTGAAACTACCTAGACTAGCCATGTACTCTAAGGGGTACATTCCCTTATTGCAGCAAAATTCAAACCGTGCGGCGCGGGAACCAGTTTTGAACCTGTTCCCGCTCTTTTCATTTCAAATGTTTCTGCCTGCATCGGTTTTGTTCAGACGGTTGCTGTGTCGCTTCGACTCTTCTGACTCCTCAACTTCGTACTCGGTAGAGTCGGCTCCTGCAGCATACAGGAATGCCTTCTCATAAAACTTCATATCGTAACATTAGGCATATGTACCCCAACCTACATCAATGCAACAACAATTCAGTTTCTGACAGTTACCAACCGAACCGTGAGGTTGGGTCGCGTCGTGAACAGTGGCGGGAACAGTATCGAAGCGAGTGTCGCGAGTGGTAACGGTTTACTGTTGGGTGCTGTTGGCGGGAACCATGTTGTACGCGCTGAGCAGGGACGCGGATTAAAACCCGCGTCTCATATTTCTAGAACCCAACCAAGTGTAATACTTACGAAACTTGGTAACCCCACGTTTGGTCGCCAAAAAATACAAAGTTGGTTTGGTACCTTGAAACACACCGAGACCAGGGTTGCAAAAAGACATCGGAGGCTCGGTGTCAGGCTAGACACGGCCCAACCGCCGCCGAACACCCTGCACCCCAACCATGCTGCGAAACCCCCCTGCGCGACAAAACGCATGGTGTAACAAGTGCAGTGCGACATCGAACTCAAGCGGCGAAAGCCCTACCACGCAGAGCAACCGTATTACCAACAACCTGAAAAAAATGTGAGACAGAGATACCTAGCGCTACTCAGAGAGACACATCTCTCTACCAGCACACAACCACCCCGACTACTTCTTCGTCACCTAGAAAACAAGCGCGGCTCGCTATCACATTCCCCCCACTTCGCTGCTTACTTTAGACCGCGCAATAGCACCGTCTTGCGATATAATCTACAGCGACCGGTAGGGGCGCCTCGTGCACGGAGTGGGTGCTCTGGACGCGGTCGCCACATTCCCACGGTCACGTTCGTGCTAGTAATATTACCGACATTGCTTAGACGGTGAGCACCACGGGTGACGGGGACTAGGGTACGTGCGTGGAAACCATGTGCATTGCCCCTTCACGGCCACATTTACGTGCTTATATGAGAGAAAGGGCATCCCTTGTGAGAAAAGGAGAAACCGTGACCTCATTGGGCCCTGCAAAAATGACGTACTGCGAAAAACGACAGCGAATCCCATTCGCCCGCGGTCCCCTACCCCCTTCACTATCACTCCTCCTCCTCGTCGTGTTCCCTCCCCTTCCCCCGTCACTATCACTCCTCGTCGTGTTCCCTCCCCTTCCTCCGTCACTATCTCTCCTCCTCGTCGCATTCCCTCCCCTGAACCCGTCACTATCATTCCTCCTCCTCGTCGCGTTCCCTCCCCTTCCCCCGTCCTTTCCCCTCCTCCTCGCGTTCCCTCCCCTACCCCCGTCACGTACACTCCCCCTCCTAGTCGCGTCGCCTCCCCATCCCCCGTCACAATCACTCCTCCTCGTCGCCGTCCCTTCCCTTCCCCCGTCACTATCACTCCTCCTCCTCCCCTCGTTCCCTTCCCTTCCCCCGTCACTATCACTCCTGCTCCTCGTCGCGTTCCCTCCCCTTCCCCCTCTTTACAATGCCCGTCCCCCCCCCCCCCCCCCACGCACGCCCTGCCCGTTCCCTTTGCAGGTGCTCCCCACACCCGACGCCATCTCCCCCATTCCCCCTCGATACCTCTCCATACTCCCCACCGCTAGCACGCCCCTCCCCCGTGGCTACCACTCCCTCCCCGTCACGATCACTCCCCTTCCCCCTCCCAAACATTCCCCTTCCCCCTCACTGTCACACCCCTTTGCTGTCGCGCTCTCTCCTCTTCCCCCTCGCTGGCGTGCACAATCCCCCCCCATGCGCGCCCTGGCCTTCCCCGTCACTATCACTCCCCCTCCTCGTCAAGTTCCCTCCCCTTCCCCATCGTCACCGTGCCCGTCCCCTCCCTCCACACACGCCCTGCTCGTGCCCTTTGCAGGTGCTCCCCATTGCTCGTCGCCATCTCTCACTTTCCCCCTCCTTAGCTCGCCCTTTCCCCACCGCTAGCACCCCCCTCCCCCGTCACTGTCACTCCCCCTCCTCGGCACATTCCCTCCCCTTCCCCCTCGCTACCGTGCCTGTCCCCTCCACATTTGGCATTCCCTCCCCTTCCCCTTCGCATGCAATACCCGTCCCCGTCGCCATCTCTCCCTTCCTCCTCTATAGCTTCTCTTTCCCCACCGCTAGCTCCCCCCTCCCCCGTCACTATCACCCCCCCTCCTCGTATCGCGCTCTCCCCTTCCCCGTCGCTAGCGTGCCCGTCCTCTCCCCCTCCCCCACGCACGCCCTCCCCTTCTCCTTCGCAAGCACTCCCCTTCCCCTTCGCCATCTCTCCCTTTCCCCCTCCTTAGCTCCCCCTTTCCCCACTGCTAGCACTCCCCTTCCCCCGTCACTATCACTCCCCCTCCTCGGCACATTCCCTCCCCTTCTCCCTCGCTACCGTGCCTGTCCCCTCCACATTTGGCTTGCCCTCCCCTTCCCCTTCGCATGCAATACCCTTCCCCGTCGCCATCTCTCCCTTCCTCCTCGATTGCGCTAGCACCCCCCTCCCCCGTCACTATCACCCCCCCTCCTCGTATCGCGCTCTCCCCTTCCCCGACGCTAGCGTGCCCATCCTCTCCCCCTCCCCCACGCACGCCCTCCCCTTCTCCTTCGCATGCACTCCCCTTCCCCTTCGCCATCTCTCCCTTTCCCCTTCCTTAGCACTCCCCTTCCCCTGTCACTATCACTCCCCCTTCTCGACGCATTCCCTCCCCTTCCCTCTCTCTACCGTGCTAGTCCCCTCCCCATGTGACGCCCTCACCTTCCCCTTCGCAAGCACTACCCTTCCCCGTCGCCATCTCTCCCTTCCCCCCTCAATATCTGCCCCAAACAGATAGAGGAGGGTCGTCACCATGGACGATGTACCGCGTTCCCCCGAGGAGAGGGCATTGTTCGACCACTTGGATAGCATCATGAGTAAACATCCAGCAAAGATGATGTCGTTACAGAGTCACGTGATCCTCCCGGTGGCCATTATGCGGTGCGCCTTATCGGCGCTGCTTGGGAGAGAGGCGTCTCCCACCGAGCTGATGCATTTGCTGATTGCTTCTGCACCGGAACTCGTCTCCAAGCTGGTGGACGCAGCAGCCTCGAATGCGAGTAAGTAAACACTATTTGGGTTCTTTCGCATATGAGTTACCATATTTGCACACGTGTGCGAGCACGATCGGTGTGAATACATTATCTAATAGATATTACCACGTTTTGTTTTTTTGCTCCAATTGATCCATGTGTATGGTAGGCACCCTTAAAAATGCCGACCTAGTGAGGTCTCAGATCAAGTTGCACCTGGATGCACATTGGCCCGCGTTTCGTGTGAGCCAGCGTGGAGCGAATGCCGATGTTGGGCAACTGCTAGAACTGGAACCACGGTCAGGAGCCAGCTTCACGTACAAGTTCAAGACATATCACATTAACGAGGACGGAAAGGTGGTGCCCGACGATGGGTTCGGGCATGGCGGGGACCGTCGTGGGCCGGCGTACCGAGAGTTACTTGCATCAGGTAGGTTTATCACTACCATAGAATTTCCAGAAGAGAAAGTGTTACGGCGTCAATATATGTCCTCATAATTTCCTTATCCCGTTTATACCTGACCATCTCAACAGGAGACGCGGCTGACGACGAGGGGGGGGAGTTAGAGGAGACAATTGTGGAGGGAGAGGTAGGGGAGGAGGCTAGTGAGGGAACGGCGCGATTACCGGAGCCACATCCTATCAGCGGTCGCGGTACATCTTCCTGTGCGGCCCCTCGAGACGATAGCGTCATGAGGTACGGCAACCACGTCTTTCTCGTGCATCACGTTTCACGCAACAATTATTTGCCCGACATTTGATACCCACTAGAATACAAATTCTTTCCTTGTGAATCTCCCACCCCTTCACAGCCCTACCGCAGAGAGGGGCGGCGCATCTACCAGGACTGCCCCTCTGCCTGTTACGGCTACTGCTGTGGGGGGTGGCGCAACTACCTCCCCCGCAGTCGCCCACGACGAGACCCCCCTGAGGTATGTCGGTGAGGGTTTTGTTGTGCGTTGCATCTATTTCTGCAATCCAGGGCAGAGGAACTCATTGCAATACGAACAAGGCGAATGCAGACTAACATCGTTTGCCTCATACATCCTATCATGCTCCCACACCATTACAGCCCAAATGCAGGGGAGGTTGGCTCAACACTCCCTAAGGGTCTCCGCCGCGCTTGGCAGCTGACGCCAGACGCAGCTGTATCCTCACTCAAGGGCGTGGTATGCCTACTTGATCCTATCCACCTCCTTCAGTTCTTCCTTAGCCTGGGTGTAATATGCTGCCAAGCAGCCTCGTGCCGGGGGTCGATGGTACTACGCGCGTGCAAGGTCAAATGGGCAACCATGGGGGTTGTATGGGTTTGTGATTCGTGCTCGAGGATTTCCGAGTTCTGGTCAACCAAGAGGGGTAAGGTCACAAGGTGTTGGAACAAGCAAGGCCCCAAAACCTCACTTTTGCTACCAAGGTTCTTGGGAGTGTTCGTTTTGGCGGGACTTGGTTTTCAGCAGATGAGTGAGGTTAGCGGAACACTCGGTATTAGGGATATGGGTAGAGAGACATTTTATCGATACATGCGGCGTCCGTACGGATTGTGGGAGGCAATCATTGTGCATAGCGAGTAGTGCATGGCGAGGGTCCGACGAGACATGCAGTTGCGTCGAAAAGATGGGGAAGAGTACATATGTGTAGATGGGCGGTGGTCACAGTCTAGGGAAGCGCATTGGTGTACAGTCACTTTCCTAGATCCACGGTCTCGCAAAATCTTGTTATGTGTTACGGTTTCAAAAAAGGCAGAGGGGGAGTCATCTATGGCATTGGAGAGGATTGCATTTGAAAAGGGTTTGAAGATATTGGGAGATTTCGGGTTCACATTCACAGGCATCATTTCAGATGATGGGGCCTCATTCAAGAAATCATTAGTTGGCACTGGGCTCCATCATCAGATGGATGTATGGCACAAGTGTCGTGCCCTTACCAAGTTGTTCGTAAAAGACTTTGTTGAAGCTCAGCGCGGCGCAATCAAAATGGGTCAAGCCAAGACTTGTTCGGAGTTGTGGTCGGTTTCGCGCGAGGAGTTGTGGGAGTGGTTGTCTTTAAACAGGAAAACGGGAGACCGTGTTACAGCAAAGTCATTGAAGAAAACTATGATCAAAGCGGTTTGTAGAAAGTTGGGAACGATTGAGTTCGATGAGAAGGCAAAGAGTCCCCCCAAATGGAAGTTCGGCGAAATGCGGAGGGTGTTGAAAGTGCGGGCGGGTGGAGTGACAACAGGACAAGATCGAGTGAAGCGTCGGAGGATATTTGCCAAGGATGGGGGGGACAATGACGTACAGCAGGAGCTGAGAAGCGGGGGAGGAGTGCTAAGCGAGGAGGCGCAGCAAGGGAGTGGAGTAGAGGTGTTGAACGAGGAGGCGCAGCAAGAGAGCAGATTGGGAGTGTCAAATGAGGAGACGCACGAAGACACACCACTTGGGGCCAGAGGGGGAGGGTAAAAGGAGGAGGTTGCTGATATCATCGGGATCAAATGGGCAGATGTTGACACGCTTTTTGAGTTTGATCCTCATCCCATCCATGCCCCGCAAGACAACATCTGGACCGAATACATCCGCGAGTCAGCCGTGGAGCTTTTGGTTGAGGGGTTCTCTGCAGATGACGTAATCGAGAGAGTGAGAGAGACGGGGGAGGGGGGTGCTAGCGGTGGGGAAAGGGGGAGCTTTCGAGGGGGGAATGGGGGAGATGGCGAAGGGGAAGGGCAGTGCCTGCCACATGGACGAGGAGGGCGTGCGTGAGGGAGGGACGGGCACGCTATCGAGGGGGAGGGTGAGGGAAAGCGACGAGGACGGGGAGTGATCTAGACGGGGGAAGGGGAGGGGTCGCATGGGGAGGGAACGTGCACGCGACCGAGGGGGAAGGGGATCGACCGCGACAGCGAAGGGGAGTAGAGTGATTGGGAAGGGGAGTGCGTGCGACTGGGTACAGAGTGCTTGCAACTCTGACGGGGATTGAGGCGGAGGAGGGGGGAGTGAACGCGACATGGAAAGGGAGTGACTGCGTGGGGAAAGGGGAGAGGTAGAGACGGGGTTGGGGACCGCGGGCGACAGGGAATCGGAGTGCTCGCGAGGGGGGGCGGTAGGGCGCGCGCGGCTGGAAACGGGCATACTAGAGTGGTGGATGGGGAGAGAAAGCGACGGGGAAGGGGGGTGAGTCAGTGGAGGAGCGAGAGTTGCGACGGCAGGGAAGCGCGGAGGGCGACGGTGGGGACTTGGAGAGTGATACAATGCTCGTTCACGGCGAAGGCTACCGGGGGGTTGAGGGCGCGGCACCGTGGAGGCCAGTGCGGGGGAAGCAGGGGGCTCGCGTGTGTGGAATGGTGTGCGTAACGCGGCGGTATTCAACTCATGAGCGGGAGATACGGCGGCTCGGTCCGCAACAAAATCGGAGTTTTCCGCGGTTACGAAGTCCCCATTTTCTGATTTCCCCGACATTGGTGGTTGTCTGGCTATTAGTGCTAGGTGCTATTCTCGTGCGCCTGAGCAGTAAGGACGGTGTGTCTCTGAAGGGGCTGGTGTGGAGGTCGATGTGCTGGAGGGGAACCACAACGTGCGAGGAGGGGTGTTTTGTTACCTATCGTCTGGGTTTGTCGCAGGGAGAACTAAACATGACGAACCTGTGAGGATAGGTTTGGGCGTTCCAACAGGTAAGGGAGGTTGGTTTGGTGCTGAGGGTATAGTGTGATGGATTCGCCAAAATCTCCCCTCCTCTCGTCAAAATTTTCGCTGCTCGTGCACCAATCCCACGCCCCAACACTAAACCAAGTGTATTCCAGTAGGAAATATGAGACGCGGGTTTTAAGGAAAAAGGTTTTTTCCTTACACTAAGTCAAATGTGACAAGGAGAATATAAGTTCTTAGGGCGGGTCAAACTTTGCACATGATCGCAGAAAACCGTACTCAACCATTCTGTGTTTTAAATGGATCGCTTTGGGTCAAGCCTAAACCTTTTGGAACCGCATTTGGACGTACTCTTTTGACCCGCCCTTACGTAGTTACTTGAACACTCGTACATTCTGAAAGCAAAACACCAAAAGCATGGGGGTTTGCCACAGGCTTGGTAGTCGGGCACCTTCTTCGCGCCTTCTGGATCGACCTTTTCCCGCACGGCCCCACTCTCTCGCCGCTCTGTTTCCTTCCGCTTCTCCGTACAGCCTGTGGTGGTGTGGCGCACCAGCGGTGCGGGCGAACCGCGCGCTGCTGCGCCAAAGATCTATGACTGTGACACGTGCGACTGAACGCAGCGGTTTTTCGTGCCCCCGAAAGTCCCCGCCAGCATACCTGGTCACTCAGCCCCACGCCTACAAAACCAAGCGGTCTCTTCGCTTCACCATCCCACATCACATTAGTACCGTGTATTATTGCTGTTGTTTTTTGTGCTGGGCATCTTCGAAGCAGCCAGAAAGTGAGGCAAGCAACGTGCAATCTCGCATTGACTACCTGGTTCCTTGTTCCATCCACTGCTTGCTTTCGCTCGCCCAAAATGCTACTCCCTCGCTCTACCAAAATGCTTCAAGCAACCAAGAGTGTACCACGCGCAGCGCTGTTGTGTCTCGTCATTTCCATCGCGCTCTCCGCGCCGTGCGCCGTGCGCGGCGCGCCGCAGGGTCCCGCTGCGACGTCGATAGCGGCGACACTGGCGAGCGCGGAGTCGCCGTCGCAGTCGTTCAACGTGTCGCTGCTCGTCCTCAACGCCACCGGGCTGCTCGCCAAGCTGCCCTCGCTCGCGCCGCTCACTCTCTTCGCGCCCACCGACGCCGCGTGGC